TGCCATCCGACCAACGCTAAGCCATAAGTTTAATAAGTATCATTCGGAACGAAACCGTTTGTGAATCAAAGGATATACAAACACTCTTCAAGGAAACACCGAATTAGGCCTCTTTGACTTCTAATTCACATGAAGTTATAATAGTTAGAGAACAGTACAGGTGATAGATACCCCGTTGGGATAGGATCCAATGAATGTAGAACAGGAAAGAAGGAAGGTTTGGAAGAGATTATATGCATAGTTGGATTACTCAAGATTAAGCAGCTTTACCTATTTTTATTGTCCTTCCAAGTAGTCCAATCATAAAGTTGCGCCAAGCCTTCCACATGGATACGACACCTCCATCTCACCATATTTGTTTTAATAGAGTTAATAGTCATCCTATTAGCTAACAGAATACGCCACATAGTCTCCCTAACTCAGTGGATAACTACGTCGATGGATAGCTTCCAGTGATCAATTCAAACAATTTACATGAGTAAGCTATTATGTCGAGGACTTGCTATGTAGAAGGGGTGTGTGCACTTCTCTCTTCCCTTCTTTCTTGTTCAGGAATAATAGACCGGTCGGACCCCCTTCGGGTTCCTTACTTTGTTGTTCTACTATGTATCTCTTCTGGGGATTTCAACAGAAATTGCAGCACGTCCTGGAGTGACAGACATGTTCATCGCACACTTAGAAAATAGTGATTCCCTGGGAGGAACATATGATTGTAGGTAGCGTGATCGTAGCCCACCACAGTTGCAGTCCAACGAGCTTTTAACCTCACCTCCCGAGCGCCTAACTTCTAATCAGCATAACTTCCCATTCATATTGCTTCCATTGTCGTATGCTTCCTATAAGACGATATAAGAAGAGTCTCTTACCCGAGATGTCACATTACTAATCTGATTTGAACCAAAGTTGCCGGTTGAAAAAGTAATGGGACATTCATCTAGACAGTACAGCTCTCATAGAAACTCGTCCAAAACATCCAAGGCGCTTTGCTCACTGAGATTAATAAAAATTGGTCTTATTTCTGCTTTTTTGACCTTTCCACAGGAGGCAAGTTATAAGGATATTCCCAGAAATAGAAAAACAAATGGCAGAACCCATTCAGCAACAAAGCAACGTGACCTTGGGAAAACTTTTACAACCCGTTCAACCGTCTTCGGTTGGTAAGGATACTGTAGCTGAAATGTTCAGCATGACATTGAGAGCATATACATATTCCCATTATTATAGCCGCTTTAAAAGTGTTGCTAAAAATGTCATGCGGAGAATCATGAGCAGGCTTTAGTGATCACGCCTAATGCATGGAGGAGCCGCACGAAGGCACTATATAAGGCTCCACTATACAAGAGAGCTTCAGCTGTCAGAAATGCAAAGTGCTCTTCACAATTTCGCCTCTCGACCTTTATTTAGTGTTTGCTTTCAGGTAGCAAATGAACGCTCTGTCGCTCTCAATCCGTTTCCTCGTGACAATTGTACGTTGTTCTTCGATAATCCTCTGATAATCTTTTCGATACCATCTGGAATGGTATACAAGCCGTTTGTTCATATTGGGTTGCAGCACTCGGACCTTAAAAAACAATCCTTGCATGCTAAGGAAGCAACAACAGGAGCGTCAGGGCCAAAAGGACAGCGTAGAGCCTCCGAAATTACTTAGAAAAGATTACCTATTAGAGATACTTATCCCGTATTTTGTTAATAGTACATATTACCAACCTGATCCTTAAACGG